GGCGTGCGGGCGTGCGTGGCGTGCGTGCGTTGCGTGCGTGCGTGCGTGCGTGCGTGCGTGCGTGCGTGCGTGCGTGCGTGCGTGCGTGCGTGCGTGCGTGCGTGCGTGCGTGGGTGGGTGGGTGGGTGGGTGGGTGGGTGGGTGGGTGTGTGTGTGTGCTTTTGTGCTTGTGTGCTTGTGTGCCTGTGCTGGTACGAAAGGCTCGTGCCAATAGAGCCAGGGATGCCCGCAACATGTTGCACTCCAGCCAAGACGCAGCTGCGATGTCCTTGCCCCGAACTGGAGCGCCAGTACATCGCCCTAAAACCTGCAGGGCTGACGTCGCCTGGGCTGGGAAGCAAAGAATGAAGCACGGAACCCACGCGCATCTTTTTGAGGCGGCTGTGGCGGATCCGTGCAGGCCAGCGGCAATGTTGGCCACTTCGGCAGCTGTGCAGGTGCCACTGTGAGAGCTGTCGAAAAGGGTCATGAAGACCTGAGCGGCCCATCACGTCACTCACTCTCAAACGCAACGCCAAACATTTTGCAATTTGCAAACGAAACCTGCAACTCAAAATCGGACTACCCTCCTGTCAAGCTGATGCACATGGCACGTCTGGTGCAAACCCCGCAGATGAACTTGCCAAGTGTCTCCGCACTTCTCGCTCAGCTTGGAGGAGCTGAATAGGCCTAGGCGAGAACGAGCTTCCTATCCGGCTCATGGCGAGCTGCATGCGGGCACCCGCGAGCGACAGATCAGAAAACTGCATCCGATCCAGGCTTGAGATGGCCAGGCTCAAGTGCATATCCCACATCCCCTGCTGCCAAGACACAGACCATGACCAAAAGCTCGCGGCTGTCTATCAACGCCTTGGGCACTGGATAAATCCAGGATCTCGCATGCCCATGTCCAACCAGCCTTTGGGAACACCGGGCGAACATCTGTGGGCTCTGGCAGTTTGTCACTGGTTGGCTTTACCCTGCAGCGCCGACATGCTGCCTGGACACATTCTGTTGGCTGAAAGCATCGAATATAAAGAGCAGGTTGAACTCTGGTAGAAATAGGATCCTTGGCTCCAGCTCGCAAGACGGAATTTCTAATTGCTGTGTGCAAACTGATCGCCACAGCAAGTGTCTGTGTCAAACTTGGCGCCCTCAAATGGGTAACTGTTTCTCGGCTTTTTTTGAGAATAAGGGTTCGCGTTCTGTGACACAGGGGTATGCAACTATGGCTGACACAAACCCAAGCGTCTCTGACAGCTCTTCGTAGCTAATCCATCCAGAGTTGTCCAGGTCAATGTTCTTGTACCGCCTTGCGAGCGGTGAACCGCTTGCGTCAAAACTGTCAGATGGGAAGCCGCGAACTTAAAGACTTCAACAGACATACGCGAATAGACCTGCATAATGTTGGCAAGTAGTGGCTTCGACTATGACAACCATGACCGTCCCTGACGCTTTGACAGCGCTGTCACGCCAACCCTTCGGGCCCGGACCTGTAGACAGCCCAAACATCGCCTTGGCTTGGCCATTCAACCTCAATCGCCTTCTCTTTTTCGGCATGCCAACCTGTGCCCCAAAAATCCTGCCGGTCAAGAAGCAGTAAGTCCGAAATTGCAGGCCAGAAATGACTGCTTAACTGTCTCGGCAAGCGCACCGCTTCAATCCCCGTGCTCTTCCACTTCGCGGTTTTCTTGCAGGGTGGCCTGTAATCCCAACCCTCCGCCCTTCTCGCCCCGTCCGGCGGAATCCCTAAACAAAGACCCACCTTAAGCTTAAAACGGAGGGCATAAGGACCAAACGGACCAAACGGACGTATGGCAGCTGGGCTCGAGGACCAAACGGCTCAGAGCCGCTCAAGCGAAGCGCAGCGACCCGCCGCCGAGGGGCCGTTTTCGTAGGCCCCAAAGAAGCGCCGCAGCGTGGGGCCCACGTCCCGCTGCGCCCAGGCGCTGCCTGGGGCCGCGCCGGGCACCACGGACCGCAGGCTGCGGACCTAAGACCCACAAGGCACCAAGGCGCCCCAAGGCGCCCCAAGGCGCCCCAAGGCGCCCCAAGGCGCCCCAAGAGGTTCCAGGTCCACTTCAGCAAACGACCTGTTCATATTTTCTCTTTTTTACTTGGGATCCTTTGGGCCGCGACTGAAGCAAGCCTCCCTCACTGCGTCGCCTACATGATCTCGAGTATGCACATGCCCCGTTCAAATCATGTCCACCCGCTTTCTTGTACTGATCCTCGGCCGACCCACCCTTCAGCAGATCCTGATCCACAAAAGCGGACGCTTCCATCTGGCTGGAGACTCCCCTCTCATGACCGGACTGGCTCGGGAAAAAAGATGCAGTGGTCCATTGTCCCATCCGCTCTGCCAACGAAACAACCTCGCAGAAAGTGCGCCCAGCTGGGCGCTCTGACAAAGCCAGCGCCCATGACCTGCGACCAGGTCAGAACATCCGGAGATTGCCGCTTGCGATGCTCACCCCAATCATCCCGTGCGGGTCCCACTTTTGGAACTTTGGACCCCCACCCCCCACCAACCCCCAGAACTCCCATGCACCGTGCTGGCACCTTCGAGCTTCAGCGCATGGCGGGCACGGGTGAAACGGCGAGCAGGGTCTGGGGGTTGGCTTTGGGCACGTGGATCGCAATGCTCGATATCCGCTAGCTCGACATAGCGAAGCAAAGCCCAAAGAAGGCAAAGCACTTACAACTTCAAGTTGGTGCGACCATTGATCTTCAGGCTTCTAACTTGCACATGCATGTTCCGCACCCCATCTGGAGCCAAGCGCAATCCCGGAGCCTTTGGACCGACTGTCCCAAACAAACGGGACAGGCAGAAACAGCACACGAGCCGCACCGAAAGGCACCGAGGCTCGGAGCGCGGATCAGAGGAAAAGCGCCGCTGTCCCTTGGAAAGGTGCTGGGCCCAACCGAATGCTGTTGTAGTTGTCATCGCGATGGACGCTGGCAGATAGGTGAGAATACGTTGGCCGTCGAGCTTCCATGCATGGAGGTGTGACTAAGACGCGTCTGACTATTTTGCATCTCAGCCCCAAGGCTTGAGCCACAAATGGCCAGTCAGGAACGTGACATTGCAAACTTCCCAGCACACTCCATCTCAATTCTTCAACGCCCCTTTCCCTCTATTTTGAAAGTCGCTGGCAGCCTGCAGCTTTGGATACGGCCCCTAGTCCATCTTCTGAGTGCTGGTGGCTTTGCCACTTGGCCAGCACGAAACAACCTCGCGCCGGGCACAACGACTTGTGACCCGGCCCTCCCTCTGTGCCGCCTCAAACTGGTGAAACAACCTTCGAGAAGGCTGGAAAATGACCCCGTGGTCACTCAAGCGCACCCTAAGCCTACTCCACATTGAATGAAAGAATCTTGGAAGGCCCTTTGGAAAAGTGTGGGCTGTCCTTTTCACTGCCAAAGCGCTGACGTCCATCCTGTCCCTGCGGGCTCTCCTGACTATCTGAATCTAAGCCATCTTGGAGCTCTGGCGGCAGGTTCTTGGCTCGCTGCGTCTCTCCAGCTTTCCGAATCTTGTCGTGGAATTCGGCCAGGCTCACACCTTGAGTACTGTTCCTGCGAACGCTCGACAGGACCTTTTCGTTCAGCTCCTCAGCTCTCTTCCGGCCGGTCTCGCGCAAAACAATGGTGTCCTGCTGCTTCATGGTTACGGACTTCCTTCGATCTGCCACGGGCTTGGCGACCGGCTTTGTGACCGTCTGGGCCGGCAGTGAGGACATGTAGGCAGGATGCTTCAAAGGGGTGCGGGCTGCTGAGGGCCGCCAGGGAATCTGGCATTCCTCTTCCTTGTCATCTTTCACTTCGACCGTCCTCTGTCTTCTCAAGAAGACCAGGGTGGGTTGCTGCAACCTCGAGCCTGGCTGGGCAGCCGTGTCCCCGTGCCACTTGGGAAGCATGTCCGCGTTGGTCAGCGCAGGGAACACGCGGTCGGAGGCATAGCGCTGAGCACGCTCTGCCCTAAAGGCGATGCGCTGCTCCAGTTCCGTCGGCTCCTGGCCGAGGCTCTCTTCATGGCCAGGCGCTGCCTCTGGCGCCGGCTTGCGGCCTCTTTTGGTACCCTCAGGGGCCGGGAGAACAGTCACAAAGTAAGTCCTCACAACTCTCCGCGGCGAAGTGCGCCGAAAAGGCGGCGTAGGAATCGTGGGTGGGAGGGCGCGCTTTGGCTTGGCCACTTGCGGCTCGGAATGCAAGCGAACCTCAAAGCGCGCACTGTCATCCGCCGCATCACCGGCACCAACTGAATAGGCTGGCGAGAATTCGACCATGTGGGGTGCAAGGGGCTCGGCTACGCAAGCCCTCACAATCAATTGGCTGGTGATATGTTCTGCCTGCATGACCAAAACATTATAGGCTGGCGTTCCGCTACATTCCCTCACCCCAAGCATCAACAACACTTGTCCAAGTCTTTCACGCGCATTCGAGCAGAATGGCATACGCCGGCCGTCAGCACGATGGAAACAGCCCATGCAGCATCTCCACAAGGCCTCCGAGTCCAAAGGGCCCGGATCGATGCTTTTCCGTGCTAGCAGACAAGCATTGGTGGTTCACACCTCGGCACGCAGCCCAGAAACGGAAAACATGCACCTCAAAGCAAAGGACCCGTCCAAGGGGGGGAGGGTTTCCACTGCTTGACATGTGCGTGCAAAGACGCCACAACTGAGAAAGAACTGTTCGGACGGTCATGGTTCGGGCAACTTGCTTGACTCCGTGCGGTTTCAGTTGTTTTCGGCAAAACTCATCTTCATGGGCGAAATTGATCGCAACCAGCCCCGTTGTCAGGTCGCGATTTGCTTCCAAACTACAGACCAGCCTTGGCAGGCGCACAACAAGCAAGCCCCCGACTCCATCACTGGTGGCCCACCAGGGATGCACCTGACAAGGTAGCTGATCCAAAGAACTGTTGAAAGTTGAAACCGAAGGGACCCGGGGCTAGATCTTGTTAGTTGGACAAGCTTGCGCGGCCTCTTGAAATGAGGGATCCTACATACCGGGGCTGGCACTGCCCCTCATCGATTTCCGGTTGTAGTTTGTGAGCACGCTTCCGCTGTTTGGTGGCCTCGCGTTTCCCGTTTAGGGGAAACACGCAGCCGAAATCACGACCCCACCGGCCAGTGCCACGGCCCTGGTTGTTGCCCACGAAGTGGTAAAAACACTCGTTCAGGGAAACCCGCCAGCTGGTGAATGCAACATACCCAGATGATAAGAAACTCGCTGGAGGTACCCCATTTGGCTAGGTAGTGAATGCAAATGTGGTGCTGACCCATGGCATGGAAAAGGCAAACAATAAATGTTCTAGTGTGGCACCTGCCCGAGAAGCGGGTACAGTCAGTCCGCGCGTAGAAACCGGTCTTCAACACCAAAATAAAAAGCAAATGAATTGACGCGTGAGCATTGCGTGCCGAATGCCCTTCATAGCTTTCAGGCTGCCCCCACAGCCCGAACAAACATCTCACCGCGTCCTGAAACACCGGGCACATACCGTGCATACTAAAGACAAAAAGCCCTGACCAATTTCTTTCATTTGCCCAACCCTACATGCCAACAAAAAGAAGAAGCTACATGATAAAGAGCGCCTTTGCACAGCTGCTCGGCTATCCACGTGCTCGAAGACACGCTGACCTGAGACAGCAATGTGACACATGAATCATGAAGAGTGTTGCCCGATCTTTAATCTCTTTCATGAACGCATGCTTTCAGAAAGTTGGCCCAATGCCGCTCCACACCGCAATTTCTGGGAGCTGGGTCACGTGCAGTTGCCGGTGTTGCGCCGCGCCATACCAAACGTCTCGAGCATGAAATCCTGACAGCCGCGGGCCTCTTTGGCCCAAGGGGCAAGGGCTGAGATGCTGAGGCTGCGGCCCAGTCTTTGGAGCGTCCGGCAAAGTGGTGCAGCACGGCAGGCCTGGGCCATGCGCGCCGCGAGCCGCGAGCCAACGCCCAAGTCTCACAGACTGAAACCTGAGCCCTGTGCTCTGAGAGGCCGCGGGCACCCACGACCTCAGACCGAAACTCCTGGTCCCTTGCCCTGGGCGCTTTTGGAAAAAGACGGGGACGCCTGAAACTGTGTTTTCCGTGCGTTTCCCCTTGCAGTGCAAAAAGGGGTACACTCAAAAACACAGGCTTCTGTGGAGCTTTTCGAACACAGATGCCACACGCGTCCAAACTCCTTGCAACAAGGGCGCATGGTTGACGTCCACCAGCCGTGGGTCTGCAAAGCGGAGGAAGGAGGAGCGTCTGGCACCAAACTGGCCCTGAGGCTCGGGAGCCCGCGCACAGCCGCTCAGAAATCTGCAGTCGTAAAGGACCCTCCTGTTCACGAACATGGAGCCCACCAAATGGTCACTTTTGAAGAGAACCAGTCTTGGCCCCAGGTTCCATGTGGACAGGAGGGAAACCATCTAGTTCTGACTGCGACTCCCGGCTGCCAAGCGCTCGCTCGTCCGCCACCAGCACAACGCATAGAGCGCAATCTGCCGATTGCTTCAAATGGGCATCTCTGAAACAAACATGGGCGTTGCCACAAATAAGCGTTTGCGCAAGTTCGGCTAGAGTGCAGCGCCTGCCTCATGGTTGCCCTTTGCATTCGGCCAAATGTACTGCGCACACTCAGAGTCGTAGCCTGGCATCCGAATCGCTGGGGCACCATTTCCAGCATCCAGCTCGCAGCCGCAGCAGCAGCAACAGCAGCGCCTGCTTCGCCTCTGGCCGCTGCCTGCCGCGGGCATGGGAAGCACTGCATCTGGACCTTTGGCCCCTCCAATCCAGAGAACGTCCCCTCATTGCGCGGGAAACTCTTACAATGATGTTACAAGGCTAGGAAGACTCGGCAACGAAAAGCAACGCGGGTAATAGGGCTACGCTTCCCCGTAGCCCGCGGCCTCCAGGCCTAATACCTCCAGGACCGTCTCATCGAAGGCCCCTTGATCCTTTTCGATGTTCTGCATCCACGACGCCTGCGCCCCAGGAAGGCGCACCGCAGAGCCGGGCAACAGGCTGCAGCTGTAAGCAAAATGCCAATCAGGGCACCCCCGGGCAAAGGGCTGGCTGGAACGCGGCGTCTCCAAATGGGCGCCCGTCTTCCATGCCCCGCCTTCTCCAACAGCAGGTCCAGAAAGAAGTGGCCCCTTGGGGAAGAGCGGATAAAGACCACCTTGGAGTTTGCGACTCTGCAGTCCCCGCACCTGGCCTGCTAAGCTGAGCTTGCTTGCGTTTTGAATTTGTGGCAGTCAAGAAAATATGCCAAGGTGCATGCATGCAGAACACTACAATACAACACATTATCTGTAAATTACACTACATTACATTACATTACGTTACATTACATTACATTACATTACATTACAGCACACTACATTACATTACAGCACACTACATTGCAGTGTGTTGCGTTGCATTGCATTGCATTGCATTGCATTGCATTACATCGCATTGCATTGCATTGCACGGCATTGCACACGAGAGCGGCGCTTGCCGCTGACAGCTCCCCGAAATGGGCCAGCGCGGCCGCCCGCTCCGCCCTGCGCTGAGCCTCCTCCTGGTCCGACGCGGCGTTCCGCCTGCCGCGTCCCTCTGCCAGTTCGTACGCTGCCGCCGCTGCCGCGTCCAAAAGGACGCGACAGTGCCCTGCTGCAAGGAGCACGGCATTACATTACAACAACTTTACATCGCACTACATTACATTGCATTACATCACATTGCATTACATTACACTATACTACACTACACTACATTACATTACATTATGTTACATTACAGCACAGTACGCTACAGTACACTACACTACACTACAGCATTAGCATGCCACGTTACATTCCTAATGCATACGAGCGCACCACACAGACACGCACATCCAATAAGAACTAAGATGCTCGCGCCGTTGTTCAGCGTTTGCGGCTTGCCAAAGTCGCGCGTTGCGACATCAGGCGCGCCAAAAATACCGCCTGGCCGTGCAACCCAACTTGCGCGCAACAAAATAGGTGAAGAAAAATGGCTGATGCCAGCCTGCCCAAGCTCCCAGGACTGCAGGAATGGAGACGTTCCAACCTTGCTTTTCTTCTTTCTTCCGTTCCGACTCGGAGTTCGGAGTTCGGAATTTTTGGCCGTCACGTTCGCAGTTTGGGGCACAGGCACTCGGGCACCACGAACTGGTCCGGGTCAACGACCAACAAGGCCTGCAAAGGTTTGTCTTCAAATTGGGGGGCCCAAGATGGTGGGTCTCTTTGAAAACTCGCCACAAGGTCCCCCAGAACAGAACACACACCCAAATCTTTTCCGGATGCAACAGGGTGGGACCGAAGCAAACAGCTCTCGGGGGTTGCTCAACGCACCTCATAGTAGTTCAAGAACTTCTTGGCCTTGGCCGACTGCTGTGACTACCGGCCGCGACGAGTCTGAAATCCTGGGCGTGGAGCTGAGAACCACCGCAGCCAGTTCGGGGCTCGGTGATGGGGCGGGCTCACCTGAGGCAAAGCCCCCCTTCGATGTGCTTTGTGGTCAAGCCGACATCGAAACATTCAACTCAATGATCGAAGCCACATGTGCGGCCTCCGGCCTCGGTGTCATCTGTCTCCAGAATGAAGCTGATCCCATGACCTTGCACGAACCAAGCAGGCCCATCAACTCGCAGACCGAATTGGAGAGCTGAGCGCTCCGCGGACTGCGTAGCAGCGCCAAAGATTCAAGAAGGGCTGGTATGTATGAATCCTCAGCAGGTGGCTCCTTGAAAAATCGTCTCAGCTTCCCGCCTAATGCGAACCATTGCGTTCCCTTTCATGCATAGATAAAGGTTTGTAGCATGCCGGCGCATCCTAGTCGCTACGCAGACCTGAACAAGATGAACAGTATCTGTTAGATCAGACTTGATGCGGTGCATCTTTGATGACCTCTAGCCCATTGTCCCTGGGCAAACCGCCAAGCGCAAGACTGATTTGGCGTCGCCTTGGCAATGGCTTTGAGAATGCACTTCCCCAGCTGCACGCACAAGAGCCCTGCAGCAACCAGTACTGCCACAGATCGAGAGGCTTGGCCTGACTATGTTCAAAACTTTGGCTTCGAGCTCCAAGCAACACGCCCTCAAACCAAGATGAGACCCGACATGTTTTGACCGTAGGAACGGCAGTCAGGCTGGGGCTGGGCAACAAAAGTATGACGACTGGGGCGCGCCGCTGCAACCCTTCAAGCCTCCTCTCTTTGCGAATGGTTGCGATCTTGGCAGCCTTGGGCAAACCAACTTCGAATGTGTCGCATGCTCCGTGCCCTGGGGCTCATGCCGGAGACGCTCTATCTCTACCCGCCGCACCTGCAGCCATGAGGTTGAGTCAAACGCAAACTGAGCGCCATTCCCTACATCTGTGCGGTTTTGTTATAGGGCTATTCAACAAACATATCTGCACCTATCTAATCTAATTTATCCATTTATCTATCCATCCATCCATCCATCCATCCAGCCAGCCATCCAGCCAGAAATCCATCCATCTATCGATCGATCTATCCATCTATCTATCCATCCATCGATCCATCTATATTCATATCTCGTTCTATCGCCCGAACCTGTTGCGCATCAAAGCCATCGGCAGGCCTTGGCGCACTGCTCTCGCCGCGCGTAAACGAGCTCACCAAGTCCACCGTCAGCAGGGGAAGCCTGGAGAGCCATGAGGAACCCTCGCACCGAGGCCAAAGCCAGCGGACCCATGCTGGCTCGGACTCGCCAAGGAAGCCGTAGGCGCGCACAAGCCTCGAGCATCGAGAATCTGGTCACTTTGCCCCCTTCTTCCTGGTGGGAGACACGGTGGCATTAATTCGCAGTCAGTCAGCGGCAAGGCAGCACAAAAAGCGGTGCAAGCCCCGCCACAAACGCACCTCTGACTCAGCTGCTGACAAAAGCAGCGTCTGAGTGCAGCGGGCTGTGCTTTCCAGCTCTGCTGTGAGGCCCTGACATAGACTCCCATGGCCAAACGCATACGAGGGCTCCGGCTGCCTTCCACCCCACGGCTTCCTGGCCACCCGTCTGGCCTGCATCGTCAGGATGATGGCGCAGGCCTGGCGGCTCCGGCAGTCCCCTCCCTCGATTCGTCGATGCCCTGACTCGCCTCTGGGCACAGGCATGCCGACTCGCCGAAAGTGAGGCCAAGCAGGTCTTCAGACCTGACGTCTTATCCAAAACTCATACAGACTGCCCCACTGTTGAGCCGCTGTGGGAATCACACGAGATGCCTCTCAAATGAAATCCTCAAGTTCTGAACAGGCGCACATGGCCACACAGCGCGAGGCCAAAGTGTCAGCTGGCAGCACCTCAATTGCATGGCTCATCAAACTTTTTGTCCTGCCGTTGCTAGGATGGTGGATCCTGAATTGCCCAGCTCATGGTGCATCTTGTCGAAAATCGCAGCCAGGAAAGGAAAGTCGCAAAGTTTGGCAACGCAGCGCGTTGCTCAGCAGCGGCGGTCTGCGAACGAGGTGCTGGAACGTCTGCCCACGCAGATTGGATGGCATGGCTTGCTGCCTGGCGACGGGGGCTACTTGCGCATGAGAAACCTTTGCTCCTTCTCCGCCGGCCTGAGCGCAGGCATTGATGATCTCGTCGCCACTGGGCGCGCCCTTTTCGACAGCAGGGAAGATAAGACAAGGACCAAACTTGCATTGGATCGCAGATGTGCCTCTGCCAGTGGGGCTGGGCAAGCTGCCTGGCACCTGGCCACAGCATGCTGACAAGCCGGAGGGCCAAACAGTCTCATGGACACATGCATGCGCAGTGCAGCATGTTGGCCTGGCCAGGGTGGCTAGCATCCATGCCCAGAACATGGCACATGGCGCATTGACATCATTAAATCATGGCATGCAATCGAGCAGGGCTGTGGTAGTGAGGTTTGGAGCTGATCGACTTAGTAGCAACCACTGGCCCCTTCTGTCCTAGCGGGTAAGACGGGGTCAAGATTGACGTGTCGTTTCGCGCAGGGATGGCACCTGTGCATGTGTGCATTTTGCATGTGTAGAGGTGCGCAAAGGGGGGGTGTAAATGTGCGTAAGTGTGCGTGTGTGTGTGTGTGTACCTGACCTGCTGAGTTGACCAGCTAGAAACGTCTGGACTTTTTGCGCCATTCTCTACGTTAACAGCGGCCGTCTGTGCAATCAAGCTTAAGCTTCACATCTTTCGCATGGCTGGCTTTTTGGTAGGCATCGGCTTCGGCCGATCCCGACCGTAGAAAATGGGCCTCGGGCCAAGGAGTAATCCAAGTTGGAGGTCGTTAGGTTACCCTCGGTGTAGCCAAACTGTTTGACAGCCGGCACCGAGGAATGCTGCAAAACGATGCAGAGCACTCTCACGGATTAATTGCCAGCGGCTCCGCAGGTTCATCCTGAGCCCTGAGCAGGATCACAAAAAAAGCATGGGACCGACTGGGCAACCCTCAGGGCATCTCAACCAGCTCCTTTCAATGGAGCCGTGAAGCCTGCAAAGTGGATGGCGGAAATGCAACAGCATCTGGCCAACTTATAGCTACCATGAGCTCCAGGTGTACTGTGCTGGCACAGATCGTTGCAGCTTGTGCCTTGCTAGCTTCTCAAGGTTAAAACAACTGCTCATAGGATGGAGGATGGTCGCCAAGTGTCCGAGAGGCGGTCAGAGCTTTGGAAAGCTAGCAGGGCGGAACAAGAAATCCGTCTCAGGCCACGTGATGCAGCAGTTCAAACTAGATTTGCCAGGGCCGGGTCGGCGAGGACTAACGAGACAATAGCCATTGCAAACGCCAGTAAAAGTCCGCAACTCGTCAATGCCATAATATGTCTATCATCAGAACGGTGATGAGTGACACTCGTGAAGAAAATCAATTCAGAAGCGTTCAGGCGTCTCTGCAATGAATTCAAACTCAGGGGACGGGCTTTGTCAGCTCAAGTTCTCTGAGCACACCAAGGGTAAATCGCAGCTTTGCACACCTTTCACCCCTCCAATGCCGCGAAGCCCAGCCTAATTTCAACGAAACAGTACCCCAGGCGCATGACCTTCGCCATTCAGCATGGAGATATGTGACGTCATCTGCCTGGCCCCGCTGGCGCGTTGCGTTGGCCCAATGCGATGTGCCCAAACGGGCAATGATGAGAGACAAACGACGCCGTGCCGGGAGGCCAAAACAAGTACTTCGAGACAGTGTTCGTACATGCAACCGAACAGCCAGCTTTGAGACCTCTGTGTGCGATAGGCTCCGGGCCCGCAGTTTCTTGCTCGAAGATCCGCTTCACCTCAGCCGGGCCCCTCAACGGCAGGCCAAGGCAAGACAAAATCGGAAACGAGCAAGCAGCTGAGACGCAGCTTTGAAGACTCTGCGTGCAGCGTTGCACTCTGTTCTTGCGCCACTGTCGCCCCAAACCAAAAAGTCGTAGATATTGCGACCGTAAGGAAATCGAGTTCACGGCCTTTCTCTAAGCTGCCAGGTCTGTCAGTCAGTTGCTCGTCCCACTGCGTGCCGAGAACGCATGTGGGCCTCAGCCTGCCAAGCTCCTGGAAAGCTTCTCTCATTGCCCTGTTCTGTGCACTGACCGCGTGGGACGGCCCTCTGTACAAGGGAAAGGCAATGGGCCCAGCGACTCCAGCCAACAGCAATACAGTCATGACGCTTCTCAGGGACGCTCAGAACCTCATCGAGGCGAGGCGGGAAGATTGAGGAAAATGAGCTGGAGTTCATTGCTCCCGCTCGAAGTATCATGCTGTCCGAAAATAGGACTTCTTCGGTCCGCACGCGTCTGCGAACATGTGCCGCACAGCTCCCTTTTCTAAAGTCCCTGCAGGGCACTTGATGTGGCGGAAACCAGCTCAACACAGCACTTGTTTGGCAAGAGGTATTTCAAGCCTGCCCTGTACAATCTGGGAGGGGCACAGTCTACTTCGCTGGAAGACCCCGAAAACAATACCTATGAAAAGAAGCATGCCTTCCGTTCAGGATGCATCCAGAAAAACATTCTCGCTGGAGCGCTCCTTGGCTGGCTTCAAACGCTACCCTGGTCTGAGATGTTGAACCGTTGTGGGTCAAAGGGCTGCCTCGACACAAATTCTGCAACAAAATAGCCCTACCCACAGCATGCAAGGATCCGGGTGATCAGGCCGCAACGCAGAGGAGCCTGTCACAAAGCAGGCCACCACCTCTCGGCATCCAACGCCGTCCTTCTGTTGACAGCCTGCAGTGCTGGCAGCTTCCACAAGAAACCAACCCAGTTCAGTTGGGCCAAGGCACCGTCCATGACTCACCTCAGAAGCCAGAGGAAGCTGCTTCCGCGCCAAAAAAGAGTATGATCATCGCTCGACACGCACCCTGCTCTTGGGCAGGCCCAAGAAGAAACTGATCTCACCTCAAGTGAGGGAAGTGGTAGATGCCTGGCACTAGGCGCGCTCACGGCAGCAAACGGAGTTGCCATCTGAGCGCTGCAGCTCCTGTCATGGGCATCTGCATCTTACCCGGCGCACGGCACTCACGAAGTCGCATCCTGGCCAAGGGCGTCCCGCAGTGGCCAGGGCAGCACCGCCAAATCTGAGCCACCTGCGCGCTGCGACGTGGAGGCCACGTGACATGCCGCGTGAATCACGGCTGCATGGTCTGGCCTGCTGCTAGGTGGCCCCTCAGCGGCAAACTCTAAGCCGTCCTCTTAAAGAAAGCGTTGCCCCGATGACCGTTGACCGAGTCAGGCCAAGCAGCAGCAAAACCTCCAAGCGGAAGGAAGCGCGCCCGGCCAGCACCTGGGCGCAGCACACCGAAATGAAAAGGGCGAAATGGATAATGCAACAAATCCCGCCTCTGTGCTGGGTGGCGGAAGCTGCCGCGGGCTCAATGCACAGAGCCTGGCTTCAGATGCTTCAGAATGTAGTCAAGCTGGATGCATCAGCTGCAGCCAAGCAACATCGGCGTGTGGGGATCATTGCTGGGAAACAACCTGCTTGAGCCTTTTGCAAGCGGCGAGCGTGCAGGGTCTCAGAGAATGCGGCATGCCTCCATACAGCAAACCGCGCAGCTTGTTCAATTCTCTGAGATTAAATTCTGAGGGTTCGACGACGGTTCCACCCGGCGACGTGATTTCCACAACCATTCGCTTTTCGTCCATATACCTGAGGCCGCAAATATCGCAACAACAAAATGCAGGTTGTAGAGGCCGGGTGTTGGTTGAGCAATACCGGAAAGTCTGCTGGAAAAAATCCACTCAGCAGAAAACAGCCAGATCCGTTGAGCAAAGACGACATTATTGCAAGAAATTCACGCACGTGCCTTCTAGTCTCTGCCACGAGCTGCATGGAGGAATTGTAGCTCCTGCAAACTTCACGCTCAAGCTCAGATTTGGAGCGCTGGTCACTGGAGGCTTGCGCACGCCAGCAAAGTTCCAAACCAAAGCAAAAGGACAGCGTGCACAAAGCCGAAAGGCAACTGACAAGTAGTGGGGGGGGGTTAAAAAAGCCCCCCACAAGCCAAAGCCATAGAAGTTACAACAAAGCTGGCTAGGAGCTGTCCTCACCAAAAGCGCCTCTCCCAGCTCATCCTTGCAACCAGCCGCGGTGGGGCGGGAAGCAAGGAGAAAAGGAAGCAGCAAGTCAGGAATTCTCACCATTCTCTTCGCTGGCGAAGCACAAGACAATATCTGGACAGCATACGAAAATGCTGGGCTACCGGCCCAGCTTGGCTCAAGAAAGGTGGGCCTCTCCAAGCAAGCCGCATCTCAAGCCAACAAGCATGAATGCAGGTCTTGCGTTGGGGCGTGTAGCAGCAGGAGCAAGTGATTTGGCGCCTCTTCAACCCAATTGTTCTGGGCATGAGGTTTCGTCAAGCAATGCAAACCCTTGTCATCCCAAAACTGTTCCTTCAAGGCAGCGAAGGCATAACCCGGAGACCAGGGCACAAACGAATACGTCTTTTCCGTGGCCTGTCACTATTGTCCTTGCAGCTCTGAACCTCACAAACTACTTCCAGCCAAACATCCATAAAGGCTTGCCACAACTCAGGCTGTGAATTTCAAACTACACCTTTTAGACCTCATTCTTACTACGTCCACCTGAAAGTCGTAGCCGACTCAAGACCAAGGCATGCACGCCATCACCCACATGGAAGGTGCTCTTCACCGATGCCTGCCGAAGAAAAACGAAACGCGGAAGTGTTCCCAAGGACTGCACTGCAAGCCTTCAACTCGTTGGAGATCTCAAACCAACTCCCTATCCTCAGGTCAGATCTGTTGAAATTGTGCGGCTTGATCCAATGCATCATCTTATTCAACTGTTCATTTTCTTGCGCACACTCACACACTGAGAGCCCAGCTGCTTGATCTTCTGCCGCTGCTGGAATGCACCTGCAGGGTGGGCATGTGCCCTCTTCCACATTCTTGCACACAGGCCGAATTTGCAGTGAATTCCAGGCTGCTGCAAACTGAGGTAGCTGCCGTACTTGCTCTTCCGGGCATCTTGTCTCAGGTCCGTTCCCAGTCCCATCTCCTCCAGAAACCTTGCCACATCTCGCCACTGGCTTGAGCACAGGGCAGATTACTCCGGGCCTGTCGGTGTTGCCAACCACTTCCACACAAAGCCTTGCAGCGGACGGCATAGCAGCCGAGCACCATGCGGCAGTCCCCCATCAGGCCATGACCACACCCCCGTGAAGTTGGGGTGTGCCACATCCAGCTCCGGAAAGTTCACCAAGTAGTCTGTCAACGAAACTTTGGTTAATCCGTATTACCTTGGCATCTGCGGGCCTGTATATCCATCAGGAGTGACCGGAAGAAACTTCGGCGAAGCCTGAAGTTCATGAGCAACACAGAGAGGGAAACGCCTGCTAAGCTAGCCGCCAGATCTGCGTCCTTGGGATCCTGGGTGCGAATCTT